CCCCCTCCCCCCAGGGCACCTGAGAAGGGGCAGCGGGCTCCCAGCCCCCAGCCCCGGGGTTCAGCACCACGGACAGCACCGCGACGTCTTGCCCCCCCCCCCCCCCCCCCCCCCCCCCCAATTCCGAGGGGCTCAGGAAAGGATTTTCTGCGGGATCTCCACCGCGGCCCTGATGAAGATGGCGTTGTCCCGCACGTAGTTCCTCTTCTTGATGTCCTCGTGGGAGATGAACTTGGGGTAACCAAAACCCAAGGTGCTTTCATCCAGGGACCCCCGCGACGCCCCCGGCTTCTGGAAATTCTTCCAGTTGGGGTCGGGGTGGAAGGTCTCGGTGATGTGTTGGGGTTTGGAGAGCGACGGGTCGCTCTGGTCCAGCAGCGAGAAGGTGACGCGGTAGGAGAAGGGCCACTCCAAGAGGTTGTCGTATTCACCCGGCAGCACGCGGATGTACACAGACAGGTGGCTGTTCTCGCCGCTCCCGTTGCCGTTGAGGAACGCTGAGACCTGCAGCTTGTAGCCGTACTTATGGGTGTAGAAAGGAGGGCTGAAGAACTCGTAGTTGCTGCGGGTTTTGGCCTCCTGCAGCTTGCGGGCGTAGTCAGAGATCTTCCAGATCAGGGTCCCATCGCTGCTCACCGACAGCTCCTCCACGTCGCGCCGCAGCTCCAGGATCTCCTGCCGCTGCCGGCTCACCAGGGCGCACACCATGCCCAGGTGGGCCTTGGTGCTCTCCTCCAGGTGCCGACCCATGGCCAGCTTAGGGCACTGCGAGGACCGTGGGACTGTCAGCACGGGGAGCCCGTGGAATGGCACAGGAATGGTGGGGTGGGACACGTGAGGATGGCGATGGAGGGGATGGCAGAGGGATGCCACAGGGATAAGGGATGGCACACAGACATCCGGCTGGACAGCAGCGATGGAGGGATGCAGGACAGGAAGGAGACACCATGTGGCCAGAGGGATGGGACGGAGCAGAGAATCCGAGGCTTGGGTTGGAAGAGACCTCAAGCAATAGACTGCTCATCTGCTTGGATGCTCCAAGCAGTTGGAGCAGGGACACCACAAGCAATAGGATGCATGTCAGGGACAAGAGCTGTAAGGATGCTATGGGGCACAACAGGACACCGGGACAGGATGGAGACATCAGCACGGAGCTGGGAATACTCACCCTGTGCTTGCAGCCTGCCTCCTTGAAGGGACACAGCAGCATGGCAGTGCTGCAGCTCTCCTTCAGGTGCGTGGGCACATCCTCCCGGGCGATGTTGGGCGTCCCACACTGGTTGGGGCAGGGCACAGGGTACCGGGGACACTGGTACTGGTGGTTCTGGGGACAGAAGCTGGGTGTTACTGGGGCTGAGAGACGGCGGGGTGCCCCCCATCCCCACGGCTCCGTCTCACCTGGATGGTGTCAAAGACAAACTCCTTGGCACAGTAGGTGCAGGGCTGGGTGCGCTTGGGGCACTCGGCCAAGGTGTGCTGGGACAGCAGGCGCCGCATCATGCGTGCCCCACACTTGTTCTCACAGTACACGCTTTCCTGGGGACATGTCCCCTGGTGGCCCTGGGGATAGAAGCAGCGTCATTACAGCCAGCTCCATCCCCACGGCCAGGCTCTGCCCCTCAGGGTGCCCCCAATCCACCGTGTCCCCAGCAGCAGGATGTCCCCATCTGTGTCCCCACGGTGCCCTACAGCCCATCCACATCCTCCACAGCCACCTTAAACCCTCACCGCAGCCCCATCCAGCCCACATCCCCACACATCCCCCACAGCATCTCCATGGTCACACCGTCCCCTAGCGGCGCCCACCTCGAAGGCCTCCCCGGTGAAATCCCCAGCACAGAACTCGCACTGGACGCGGCGTTTGGGGCAGCCGTGCTGCAGGTGCTGGGGCAGATCGCGGCGACTCAGCTTGGTGCTGCAGCGGTTGGGGCAGGGGATGACGTTGAAGCCGCAGGTGCCCAGGTGGGCCTGGGGGAGGGGGGTGCACAGGGATGGTCAGGGTCAGGGTAAGAGGTGCTGTGGGGAGGTCAGGGTAAGGGGTGCTGTGGGGGGGTCAGGGTTGGGGTAAGGGGTGCTGTGGGGGGGGTCAGGGTAAGGGGTGCTGTGGGGAGGACAGGGTAAGGGGTGCTGTGGGGGGGGTCAGGGTCAGGGGTGCTCCCTGCCCGCTACCCTACCTGCAGGTGTCGGATCAGCCCGCTCCAGCGACAGCCCTCCTCGCTGTGGATGCAGCGGATGGCCAAGCTCAGCACTTGGGCTTCCAGCTCAGGGTCGGGGTAGATCTAGAGGTAGGTGGGGGGGGGGGGGAGCGAGCTGTGGGCACAGTGCCCAGGGCCAGAATCCCCCCAGCCAGCACTCCAACAAGCGCCCTTTGTCAGCAGCGGGTTTCCGTTTCCCATTGCGCAGCACAAAGAGCTGTTGATCCACAGCAGCGCCGTGCCAGGCACCAGGGCCGGGCCAGAGCCACAGTGGGGCAGGGGGACATCCCTGCTGGGCTCACCTTGGCGTAGTCCAGGGGCAGCTGATCCTCGGGGCACTTGAAGACGCCTTCGCTGCAGGAGAAAGAGAGAGGAGTCAGAGACGAGGGCTGACACATCCATGGAGCCCCCCGGTGTGCCAAATCCAGCCCTCAGGGAGCCCTAATCCTGGCGGCGGCCACTCCATCTGTCGGGGCTGGGAAATGCCCCCGCCAGACACCCCCCCCCGGGGGCAAGGCACCATCTGGAGCCCCTTCACACGCCCCGGGATGGGGCCGGTGGGGCTGCCCCATGAGCTGGGGGCCAACAGCTGGGCGCCAGATGTGCAGCACGGATGCAAGGCCCCATAGGAAGCTGCTCACCAGGAAATGGCCCCGGAGAGGTGGGGCGGAGGGGAACGTGCGTGGAGCAGGGTCCCCACCATGCTGGGAGCACCCCAGTGGGACAGAGCGATGCCCCCCAATGGGATGAGTGCCACATTTCAAAGTCATCACTGAGACACAGCTGGTGAACACCGCCCCGACGTCACCGTGACCCACAGAGGGATGGCATGGGGTGGGGAACGGGGACAAAGCTGAATGGGTGACCTGGCACAGCTGGCCGGGAGCCACTGTTGTGGCACCTTTGGGCACTGCCCATGGTGATGCACAGCCAGGACCCTGGTTCTGGTGGCTGGGGACACAAAGTCCCCCCTCCCCCTCATATCAGACCACTCCATGTGCCCTTGGCACGAATGGGGCTGCCAAGATGCAGCAGTGACCAACCCCACGGTGCCACCCGGTACACAGCACTGGATTGGCAGTGCACACAGCGACACCCCCATGGCTGCTCCCCCCTACCCCCCCCCCCCCCCCCATGCCCCACCGCTGGGGACCGAGGAGCGCTGGGGGTCCGACGCAGCCCTGCCACGTGCCCCGTTGGGGCGGGGGGCCCACGATCCCAAGCGGGCCGGGGGTCCGGGCGCAATCCCCGACGCGGCCGCCCCGTTGCTCACGCTCCACCGGGCAGGGAATGTGCTGAGGCAGCGCCGGGGGCACCGTCCTTCCCTCTGACCTTCACGTCGAGAAGGTGCCCCCCGCCCCCCCCCCAACCGCCCAATCTTCTCCCGGCTGCACACTGGGGGTCTCCCGCCGTCCGTCCCCGGATCCCCACGGCCGCGGGTGGGAGCGCGGCGCGGCTCAGCCTGGCATCGGCCCCGGGAACGCCCGGTTTCGCAGAAACCACCGTGTGTCCCCCCCCCCCCCCCGCCCCTCCCCGTGCAAAGGTCGTCGGTGCGGGGCGAGGCTGAACCGGAGGCGGCGGAACGCGGGGAAAAGGCCACTCCACGCGCGGATCCCCCCCAAACACAGCCGTAAGGTTCGGGGGTTGTGGGATGGGGGGGCCCCACCGCTTCCTTCCTGCGTGGCCCCGGCAGGAAGACGCCGGGCTCGGCCGCCTCCTCCTCCTCCTCCGAGCCCGAAAGAGGCTGTCACGCGTGGGGGGCACCCACGAATTCCCCCGTCCCCCTCCAACCCTGCAAACCCCGGCAGCACCCAAAGGGTTCCCTACGTGACGTCGGGGAGGGATGGTTTCAGCGTCGGGGGGGGGGGGGGGGGGAGGGGGTAAAGGGGCTCACCTGAGGAACTCCTGCAGGCAGGTGTCACAGAAGCGGTGTCCGCAGGTGGAGACCCGCACGGGTTCCCGCATGGGCTTCCCGCACAGCGGGCACAGCACTCTCCGCCGCGGTCGCTCCAGCAGTTTGTAGTCGTAGCCCGGCATCGCGCACCGCTCCCGGCCCCGCGACGCGCACCGCTCCGCTGCCCGGAGCCGACTCCGCCCCGGGGCGGCGACAACCGCAGCGAAACCGCCCCGAATCCCGCACGACGGGCGGGGAGAGAACGGGGGTCAGGGGCACCGCCTGGGGCTGCGGCCGGGGCTGCCCTGATGGGGGATAGGAGAGGTTGGATGGGATGGGGGAAAACGGGATGGAGGCGAGTGGAGTGGGATGGGGGTGAATGGGGAGGAGTGAGATGGGATTGTATAGGATAGAGTGGGATAGGATGGGGCAAGAGGAGATGGGGTTGGATGGGATGACCTGGGAAGGTTGTATGGATGTGTGGGATGGGGTGAAATGGAATGGGACGGAGCGGGATAGGATGAGATGGTATGGAATAGAGTGGGGCGGCGTGGGGGGAGATGAGATGGGGTCGTATAGGATGCAGTGGGATAGGAGGAGATAAGAGAGCGGCTAGGGAGAGACAGAATGGGGTGAGGCGGGGTGGGATGCAGAATAAAGGGAGATCTGTCCCAGCCCCCTCCTCGCCCTCTCGGAGCTGAGCAGCATATGGAAACGTTCGCCCCTTTTCCCCAGAGATGAGCAGCACCAGCTGACGGGCTGCCAGCATGCGTTCATCCCTCCCAGCCCCCGCACGGGCAGCAGCACGGCCACACGTGCTGGCAGATTTCCATTCACACGTGGAGGAGGAGGAGGAGGAAGAGCTCAGCCTCTCCCCCTTGTCGCTCACCCAGCAGACAGTAAAACCCCCACTGGCAGCGCAGGGCGGCCTTTGTCCCAGCTGGGTTTGCCCAGAGCCCGAGGCAGGACTCAGAACCACGCTCCATACGGGGCCGTGGGGCTCTGCTCCCCCCGCCAGGCTTTATGAGCTCCGTCTCTTTGAAGTTTTTCCTTTTCTAACCTCGCTTCAAGAGCACCTCAGCCTAATTAGCCCGGAGCTGACAAAGCCATCCGAAGGCGCTGCGGGTGCCAGCAGGACGGCACCGAGGTGTCAGACCCTGCAAACAAAGATCCCCTCATTTCCCCCTGTCCCCTCGCTCACCGTGACAGCCGGGCGTTTGGCTCGCACTCTGCTGCCACTCCACCTCCGGGCAGGGCGCTCAGCTTTGTAGAAGCAATTTGTCGCCCATCCCCGGCGGCAGGTCCGTCCCCAAACCCATCTGGGCTTCCTGCAGCAGCATCCCTGTGCCTGGGTTCGCATAAATGAGGGGATGGAAAAGCAACGCTTCTAAAGCTGAGGTGGAAAGGAGTGCTGGGAAAGCTCCCTCCCTGTTTTGGGGGGACGTTTTCCTGCAGAAGAGCATTGGGGGAGAGGCTGGATGGACAGAAGCTGCCCTTCTGCAAAGCCTCGTGGGAACGGGGCCGGGAGCAACAGAGGGGTGCCACAACCAAACGAAATCAGCTGAGGGATCAGCAGGAGGTTTGGGCTGTTTCCTGCTGACAGCAACGGCCCGAGGTCAGCGGGACGTGTAATCTTATCAGGCACGGGAACGAGCAGCCCGTGGATCCTGCCTGCACGCCGCCCTCAGCCTTTTCCCGCAGGAAAACCAGCAGACCTCTCGCTGCTGGGGCTGCACGGAGCAGGGATTCTCAGCCCGGCGCATCGCTGCTCCGTCAGCGCGAAGATCCGAGCTCTGCGCGTCGTTTCCTGCGACAAAACGAGGCTCAAGAAGGGAGAAGCCCCGATTCCGAGTTTTCACCAGGAGCGGCTGCAGGGAAACAAAGCAGCCGACGTGAGGAATGCAACCGGCCCATTCGCTGGGGCTGCTGCTGCCTGCGGCACACGGACGTGCCTCTGCTTGTCGTTTCGAGAGCTATTGTTGCTCGGGGCCGGGGGCCTCTTTGTTTCCTTTACCCTTTCGCCAGGCTCGGTCGCAGCCCGCTATTAAATTATTCAAATCATCTCGCCGGGCTCCGCAGCCGAAGCGAAATCCCCAGGGCTGCAGCCCTCGTGGCAAAGCCGCGGCCCGGCACAAAGCTGGGCTGCTTCTCCCCTTTCCCCGAGGTGAAAGGTGCCAATAGCTGAGCCGGTGCCACCTCCAGCCCCAGCAGCGCGGTGCGAAGCCGTAAAACAAGGCTTTGCTGTCAGCGCGGCGGTGGGGACGGGGGGCTCAGCCCTGCTTTGGCAGCCGTGGGGCGGCGGCACGTTGATGCCGCCCCATTGACGGGGCAAAAGGGGGCAGGGATTTGTGTCCCAGCCACCTGCCGGCCCCGGGGAGGCTGGAGCAGGAGCCTGCTGGTCTTGGGCTGTATTTGCAGTGGGGGAGCCCCCAGGAGAGGCTGAACGCAGCACAGCTAAGAGGGATCTGTTTCTGTAGGAGTTGGTGGTGCTCACAGCTCAGCACGGGGAGAAAAGATGAGAGTTCAGAGGGAATTTCACCCTGCCCTGCAGTTGTCCTGGTCCCCAGGTCGGTCTGGAAGCTGGAACACCTTCCCCTGTAAGCCGGAGCACAAGGCGAGTGCCAAGGGACTGGCAGAGCCTTTGAACACACGTCAGCTTTCTGGGATAGCAGGGTGTAACCACCTGAAAAGGCAGCTCCACCAGAAACAAAGAGGCAGGGAAAAACCCATTCACCCACCCAGCCAGGAGCCAAGGAGGGAGGCCGTGTCTGCAGCCAGGGCTGCACACGCCTTTCCTGGCCGGACAGGACCTGCTCTCTTCCCAGCCAGAGCCTGGGAGGCAGAGAGAGCAGGAGAGCTGCAGAAATTCATTACCTTCCACATGACAGAGGGATCGGTCGGCACCTACCAGAGCTTGACAAGGTTTCCCTCATTGAAGACAGGAAAGGATCACAAAAATAATTAGAGAGATTCCATCTCAGCCAGCTTATGAAAGCACTGACTTTATACACAACGGATTGGCAGCGGCACAAAGATGGATGTGAAAGGCAATGTCAGATCAGAGACAGAAGCTCATCAGAAAATGGCCCGGGGCAGATGTTAAAAAATATATATACAGTAAAGGAGGGGGGAATAAAAGCAGGAAAGGAAACGACCCTTCTGGTGATTAAAAAAAGGTAACTCCTGGCTGTGGTACAGCGATATGCCCCCTCCTGCCTGCAGAAAGGATCCCTGGTGGAAACTCATCATCTCCCTGTTGAGATCTGGGTTCAAAAACTTCAATTAGAGACAAGCACTCGCTGCGTTTTGCTGCCTCGCGCTCGCTGGGCCTGGAGCCAGGCAGCAGCAGGATTTAAGGGGCCTGAGGACAAACATCAGCTGGAGGATGCTCAGCTGGGCTCCTGGGGCTGCAGGAGGCTGTAATTGGAGAGCCCCAGGCAGCACTGGGGGAGCGGCAGTGCTGCACAAGCGAGAGGCTGCTCGCCTGGTGTTAGGCCAGCCGTGCAGGGCAGGACCCTTGCAAGAGTGATGAACAGCTCAACAAATGGGCAAAATGCTTGCAGGGGGGATGGGAAAAGACTGGTTTGTCTAATTAGAAAAGAGGTTTGCTCTTAGTCACCCAGCACAGCGCCTGGGGCTGTAACTCCAGACGCTGCTGCAAAGGCTGACAGCTCTCTCAGACAGCGAGCTGTCAGCCTGGGCTTTGTAACCAGAGAGTTTCCACGGGGAAAAACAACCTCTGTGCTCATCACAGCGGCAGAGGAGAGCCCTTCTGCACCTTCCAACAGCCCAGAGACCCACCGAACACAGGCACTTCAGGGCCACAGCAAACCTCACTGACCCCCGAGAGCTGAGAGCTCCCAGTTGTGCAGCAGAATCTGGGGAGTAGGGGCAGCCATAGGAGCCTGCAGCTGTATGGCAAGGCTGGATGCCATCCCTCTCACTGAGGTGGTGACTCTTCCACGGCAGCTGAAACACAAAAGGCAGGAACAGATGAGCAATGCAATCTCTGTCCTGTTGCCCCTGTGGCAGCATTAAAAAACAACCAAACACCACCACAGAGCACAAGCAGGAGGGATTAAAATATCTCAGGGTTTGCACCATCCTCCTCCTCTCCAGCTTCTCCCAGCTATTCCAGGCCTGTGTTTGCAGTGGAGTTGAGAAAAAGGTGCAGCAGTGGCCCCACGATAAAGAGGGCACCAGTCCAAGCCACTCACAAACAGTGCTTGGCTGCACGGGAGGAAAGCGCCGTGCAGCCCCAAAGGTGGAGCTCAGCTCCCAGTGCCAGCACTCCCTGCCAGCTCCTGGTCGGTGCTCAAAGTGGCAGTAAGACCAAACGTGTCACCAGCCACCAGCTCGTGCTCTCTCTGGAGAGGTTTCCAGGCAGACTGAGCTGCGTGGAAGCCCAATATGAGAACTTGGAGCCCTGTTTCTGCAGGCCTGCAGGTGGGAGCTCACAGCCCAGCTGCGGAGCCACTCCAGCAGCAGAAGGGGACTGCAGCCCGCAGCCTTCCTGCAAGAACAAAACACTTTTATTCCCACAACAAACACCCTGCCCCAAGACTCTGCCTTTCCCTGTCCCCTCCGTGGCAGCACACATCACGTGAGGGCTCAGCAGGGCCGACTTCACTGTGCAGGGGCAGCCAGCCGGGCCTCCTCCCCTGCAGGGCGTAATTAACCTCCTTGAAGTGGGCTGGGACTGGAATCCCACAGCCCAGTGCAGAGGCCATAATCAGACCAACAGAGGAGGAAGAAAGGCCCCCCTCCAGCAGTCTGGGCCAGGCTCCCATCTCACACCCAGGCAACGGAAGGGCAGGTCACGCCATGGGCACGTTTTAACCACGCAAGGATGCTACTTTTGGCCCGAGCAGAGAGGAACCACAAAACCAAGGCTATCTTTTCCAAACCACAACGGAGAGCCAGCAGCCAAAATGACGCCTCAAATCTCAGCTTCTATTTCAGCAGCAGCAATTAGAGAGCTGCTCTTTTTGGCAACTCGCTGGACAGTCAGCATCTCAGCTCCCCACCAGCTGCAGTCTGGCCACCCCCCATCGTCTGGCAGCGTGTGAGCCTGCCTCTCTGCTCCCCCAGGGCAGTGGAAGAGGCAGTGTCACAGCCCCGTGTAGCAGAAGGGGAATGTTGATGTGCTTCAAGTTATTTCTGCTCATCTGCAGCTCTAGATGGACTAGAATAACACATAGCTTGTGTGCCAGGGTTACTCGGTACAGCATCATCTCTGGCTGGGACCTCACAGCAGGAATCCCAGTAGCAGAGCCCCCTACTCACGCTTTACAGCCAGCAGCGTGTTCCCATGGCAGCAGGCTACAGAGGTCACCACGTATGGATGTGTCTCCTCCAGCTGCACAGGCCGTGGCGTTCCTGTCTCCTCATCCTTCCTGCCCAAACGTCCCCTGGCTCCTTTCCCCCAGGTGCACACCTCACCATCTGCAGAGGGACACAGCTTGCTGCACACACAGCTCCTGCAGCCCTCACCAGGACGCGGGAACTTCAGCCTCACCTGCTCCAATAGCCACAGTGAAGGCATCCCCACAAGCTACCACAGCAACCTTCATGGCCTGGAGCCCCACAACCAGGTGGGGCACACGACTGTTGCGGCAGGAGTTGGTGCCCAGCTGCCCGTGTTGGTTGCTCCCAAAGGTGTAACAGTGGCCAGAAGCTGATGAGAGATGAGAGAAACAACCGTATGTCACCCAAGGATGCACAGAAACCCCTTTGCTCTCTGTCATGCTGAGCATCCTGCTCCACAGTGCTCCAAAACTGGGAGCAGGGTGTACTGAGCCTCTCTCAGCTCTTTACCTACAGCAAAGGGAAGCAGGAGGAGGAGGGAGAAAATGCAGTCCCTTCTCAGGGATCTGGGCACACACCTGTGACTGCAGCTGAGTGTGCTGTGCCAATATCAGCACACACAACTGGCTCTTGGTTCAAGGGGGCTGACTGGGCACACGTGAACACGGTGGCCTCCTCTACCTGCTCCTCTGGGGAAGGTTCCTCTGCTGAGCTGATCCGATCTAAGCCCAGCTTGTTACACCTGCAAAGAAAAAAGCATGGCTCAGAACTGGCTGAATCCAACATCAAATCCTGCCTTAGCAAAGCTACACCCCCAGCAACGAGCAGGATCTCACAGAAATGTCTTCTAGAGACTCTCGCTCCTGCTTCAATGGCAGACACAGGAGGGGTCTGGGGAAGCTGCAGGCAGGCTCTGAGCTCTCACAGATCCTCATTTCCCCTACCTGTTGCTCCCACAAGCAAGAATCTGGTTCTTCACTGTGAGGACCATGGAGGAATCGATGCCGCAGATCACCCTCTGTGCCTCATGCTCTGCTGGGACTGCTACCTGCTGGGGGGAGTTATGGCACTCCAGGGTACCCAGCCCAAGCCGACCTGGCAGGAAAAACACAAAGCTGTCTCCAAGAACTCATTCTGGGACCTGCCACCACGAAAGGCAGCAAAACCAAAAGCGCAGGGACCTGATCTGCACTGAAGTGGCAGGGACCCACCGAGCCTGGCACATCTGGAGAGAATCACAGGCAAGTAGGGCCAGCAAGAAGCATGGAAACAGGTGATGGAAAGCATTAGCCCTGTTCTGCTAAGCAGGCATCTCTTACCATTATCCCCTCTGCCCCAGGCAAACACCTCCCGTTCATTGGAAACTGCCAGGACGTGAGATGCACCACAGGCCACCTGCACCATCTCGTAGCCCAGCAGGGCCTCCACAATCTTGGGCTGGCAGGGGAAGAGCAGCAGCCGTTAGCCGAGACCTCCCAGCCCGCCAGCCTGCTCCCATCCCTCCCACCCTGCCCCCCCAGCGCAGCACAGCACTGGCAGCATCCCAGTTTTCATCCAACACAAACACCAGAGAATTTTTTGTTCTGAACAGTCTTCAAAGGCTTGGGTTTGTTTTTTTTTTAAAGACTCTACGTGCACGCAGCACAAAAGATAATGCAAACATCTCTAGGGCGGAAGAAAGCAGCCAGCACCATGGTTTGGAGAGCTGAAGGGTTGGGATTTGCCCCCCTGCCCATTGGGGGAGTGCCAGGGGCG